TCCGATTTCTCACGCTAAAATACATTTCAAGATGTGAAATGGGCACAGCTAACAGTTTATCTGTGATCTGTTTCTGGAGCCTGACGATAAAAGATGATGACCGATATGCATCGTCTTCAGTCTGTGAGGGTTTGTTTTTGCCATTTTTCTTTATTCACTTGGACAGTTTGATCCTTCATTAATGGAGTTATGTGGGTTTTCATCAGCTGACAAAAAACAAAAGGATTTATATTAGAACAACAAGCATACAATTGTTTCTATGCAACTGAATTTTCACTTGAATAAGTTATAAATAATGAGTTATTTAACTTTAAGGTGTAGTTACATTTATTTTACATTACATTTGATTTTTACATTTATAAGTTACATCTGGCCCTTTGAGGAGAGCCATCATGCTAATGTAGCCCTCTGTGAAAATGAGTTTGACACCCCTGTTCTTTCGACTATTTAAGGATTGCCCGTGTAATGCAGGAGTGAGGCTGAGACATCAGCTATAGCATGACAAGAGAAGCAGGAGCTAGTAATTAAGGAACTCTCTGATCAGAGAAGAGCCTGTAATGCCTCTGAAGGACAGTGCAGAACAGAAAGATGGCCTTTGTTTACACTGATTGCTTGTATTTACATAAAAGGCAGGGAGTGAGCGAATGTGAAGGAGAAATGCAAATGGTTAACAGTTCACACGAGTCCACTGAGCCAGATGTTTCCTGTGTGTTTGATGGTGGCTCGCTGAATAAACCTTGGTAATGTAACATTAAAAATGACACAGCATTGCTAAATGCCATCAATATTTGACATCAGACTCCCACTGAGACTTTTTGTACTGATGGAAACCCAAACTGATTTTATATAACATAGCCTACACTGAAAAAAAAGAGGTTTAGGATTTAATTAATTTTATTTTGACTCCACTAATCCTCTTAGGGTGATGATCTTGATCAACACAATTCAATAAAATCCTGGTCAAATTCAAATCAATTAAACAATCCACTTTGAGAGAATAAACATCCAAAGTTAAACTGACTCTGAGTTTCTGCTTCTCAGTCAGAAGGTTGTTGTCCTCATCACGCTCGTAAAGGGTAACCAGCACATTCTTTAGCCAGTCTCTCATGCGCAGGGGAAACTCGTTCAGCTCGTTCTCCAGGCAAGGTTCAATATCTGAGGGGAAATCCACATTCATTTCGGATCATTTATGAACACAAACTGCATGCTAGCATCCCCCTGGCAAATGTTGTAGCATAATAGTTTAAAATGCGACAAATTATAGCCCTTGGGTGAATATTAGTGTAAAAGCTGTTCGAATCAAAATATATTAAGGCAGGAACTCATTCAGGGGGTTTCAGAAAGAGACAGCCTGGTTAGTAGCAAGACAGTGCCACCGTTGCCCCTCCATCTGAGCCCTTCACTCCTATGGTGTGGAGGAGGCTTTACTGGGATTGAGTTTGCTGAGCAAGCTCAGGCTTGTGTGCTCAGCTCAGGGCACGTTTTGAAACTTGCCAATTTTATGTTCCCTTGAAATCTTGAGTTTCTGCCTCAACTTATTTCAACAGAATACTGGACTGTACAAGATACCTTGAGATGAAACGTAAAAATAAAATGAATTAAACCATAGTTTTCCCTCATTGCTTGGCACTCACATTTACAGGGTCCGATGTAGTCCATGTGCAGCTTGTGGCCCTTCTTGGTTCCCTCCAGGGAGCACTTAGTGGCAAAGAAGTGGCAGGAGGACTCGTAGGTCTTGTTGTCTGTTCCGCAAACCTGCAAATTGAATGTCAAGTAAGCAGCCATAGGGGCCAAGGATTTCAACATGACATCACGCTGTAGCATATGGCATCTTATTCCAAATAATACAATGATGTAGATTTATGAGAAGCAAAGAGAAAGAGTCAAGTCACGCACATGTTCGAAATCTCCAACAGGAGCAGGGCAGGTCAGAGGGTCCTGGCACACACACATGGGCTGGTTGCTGTCATCCACCTCGCACACTTTGCCTTTCTTGCAGTGATGGTTCAGGCAGGGGTCTATAGGAGCATTTACAAACATATTTCTTCTTTTTTTCTTCTTCTGCTTAATACTAATGTTTTCAGTCAATTTAATGCATTTTTTTTTCAATTAAACTTAATTTGAATTCATATTTGCAGTAGTAATGATAACTTTCATTAATGTAATTTAAATATCGGCAGGGGGCAGTGAAGCCATTCTTCAGAGTGACCCCTGACCTTGGGTGAAATCAAAAAATATTTAATAAACCCTTGTAAAATTGTTTTTCTACGAATAATTATTGACTTCTGCCATTATTACAATAAAACATTTGGAATGTTTAGAATGCCCCTTTAATGTGTAGAGCAGAGCACAGGACAGTCGTCAATCTTCTGTCTATACCATCTCTGCTGCTCAGAGCTGTGTAGAGTAAACAAACCTTCTGAGATGAAGCTGGCAAATTTTAAGTTATAGCATAGACTCCTGGAAGCAGTTCATTTAAACCCTAGCTCTGGAAAAGCATGCCGACTTGTCTCTCTCCACTTTCTTTCTTTAACAGCTCTCGAATGGAGGCAGCAGATGTCTCTCTGATGCTCATTTTGGCAAAAGGTTTTAAATCCAGAATCAAATTGAGTTTTGTTTCTAAAATAATCTGGACATAATAAAAAGGACAACATTTAAGATAATGATATCTACTTTTTCTTCAAATCAGGATTGAATGACTTCCTGTGGTCCACTACGTGACAGTAATGAAGACTGGTCATCATCGGGAATCGTTGACCGTAGAACCATTTTAACAGATTTTCTCTAAAGCTTACATATATCCATCCAACCATTTTATAACCCATCTATTCCTTTTTGGGGCAAGGGGGTCTGCTGGTGCCAGCGCACATCAGGCAAGAAGCAGGGGTACACCCTGCCAGTACTTACATATCGCCAGGTCGCCAGTACTATATATATATTTTTATGTTACATCAGCTTGTAAATGAAAAATGTATATCTTAGTTTGTATCTCATAATCAACCCCATTGTTTACCATATAATTAGCATTTTATAATATCTATCTTTACATTTGCAGATTTATATACAAATATAAGATAAACATTTTTGTATATGCATTGTGAAAGAGCCATAGAAAAGACATGCGTCTCTTGGTTATCATCCTGAAGCATAAACTAAACTTCTCCAAAAAGATTACAGCAGAACTCTGGCTGTACAGATCATCCACATTCCCTCACTTTACAGCAGATGTGTGCGTGTGTGCGCGCGAGTGCGCGTGTTCGTTCTTGTGTGCGGAGTGCATGTATGTGTGTTGGTTTCTTTCCTCTAATTGCATTGCTGGGTCAAATTGAAACACTGCGCCGTTGCAGTATTACTAAGCAGAGAGAGATGAATATATGATGCAAAACATTTCATTTTTGTGTTGACACTTTTTTAATGTAAGTATAGGAGTTTTAAAATGAAAAATAATCTCTTATAATCTCTTGTTCCAATCTAATTTTTGAAAGGACGTAGTCAGAAGAAAAACTATTTACTCTAAGTTTGCATTTCATTCCTCTTCCCTGTAATTTAGTGGTAGACCTGTCTGGATGACGGCTGGCACTGGCATCAGTGTGCTCTGGTGTAACTATGGTTTTTCTGAACACATAATTACAGCTGACTACTTCTGACCAATGTGCAACCTGCTATTATCCAGAATTTCATTTACTCCAGTATAATCTGAACTTTTTAACCCATTCAGGAGATGCAAACAAGCCTTCTGAAAACAAAACTGCAGCAACAGTGAATGAAACAACGGGATCTGTGGGAGGAGTGGAAACCCATCACTCACTCTCAGCAATAACTTCCTCCTCCACTTCAATAGCCTCATCAAACTCCCCAGTTTCCACCTGGACTGGGTTGGCTCCCACTTCCAGCTCCTGAATGGAAAAACGTATGTTTAGAACAGCTTCTACTATGGAAGAGAGCATTAGATGAGCATTTCTCACAAGTTGTATGTTAGTCTCTAATGAACTAAGATTAAAAGTGTCGGCAGTATTGAAAAAAATGTACAGAATACAGAAATTGAACACATTTACAGCAAATGCAGTAAAAGAATTTATCAGCAAATTACGTAGTGGTGCTGTGAGATCCAAATGTAATAGACTTCCATGAGTTTCTACATATTAGCACGGATTCAGACAATTTTTTGATGAAGTCATAAGGAACAGCAAAGAAAGCAGTCTTGCATGCCTCCCAAAGTTCATCAAAACTCTTTGGTTTCGTCTTCAGTGCTTCCTCTTCCATCCTACCACAGTACTCTATAATGTCCCATCTGGTGACCGCTGGCCAATCGTGGAGCATCTTGATCTTTCTTGAGGAACTTTGATGTGGAGATGAACGTCTCTGATGGAGTACCATCCTTCAGATGGATTTGGTAAATTTCATGGTTGGGAATATCAGAGGTAGCTAAGATTTCTTGGTATTTTAGACTATTCGATCATAAAGGTCATTTTGAGACAGAATCTGACAAACTGTTCTGGTCGACACAGGGACTTCAAGCAACCAGGTCTCGCAGAGCTCTTTTTAAGCTATTCCTCTTGAGCAGTTTTCTTGAGGAGTCTGCCTGACCTGGGCTTGTCAAAAACATCTCCAGTCTCTGGTAATATTTTTTTTGCCTCTGGACTTTGAATGTGTCTGCCACACCAGCAGTGGATCTTCAGCCTCTTGATGACACTTTAGTCACAAGGTGAATCTTAGGCATGTTTGCAAAGGTCAAGTTGAAGTTGATGTGAAAGGGTTTTTGGTTTATGACGGGTCATACAGTAGGTTCCTGACAATAATTCTTGACAGAAACTTGGCATAATACCTTCCACAGTCGTCCTCTACTACGGTGGATAATTCTACTCTTTTCCCAGCTTGAGTTATTATGGAATTGCACTCTATTGACTTGAGACTTTACATGTACATTTTTTGCATGTGGAAGATGTTTTTATCCAAAGACTTCCATTTTAAAGAATGAACACATTTTTTGCGTCAGTTCTTGCTCTCCCTGGGATTTCAACCCACAACTTTTGCATTGTTAGCACAATGCTTTACCAACTGAGCCACAGGAAAGCTTTTATGTCTGAATCATATATGGCTATGGTAAGAAGTCGGAGATGGAAGAATGAGAAGATGCTGGAGATGAAAAAAGGAGAGACATAAAACAATCTTCCACACACTGGGGGATACTGGCGAAATCCACACCAACGAGATGAAGGGTGGTGAGCCAGATGAAGGAGAAAGTGGCCATGACGCAGTACAGAACTTATGAATGATCGGAGGGGTGGGGTTTACTTTATTTAGCACGTTAAAAAATTACATTTAACGCATGTGAAATCAAATAGGAGGAAATAGCACACATTACATACCAAAATTATAAAGGCTTGCTTCACAGATGGATTCTTTGACCTTAATGAAGTGGTAATTAGAGCTTTTCAGTATATTTTCAGAGTTTATGGATTCTGGGCTCTCTGGGAACTCAACTACATATGTGCTTATGTAAGGTTTCCATTCCGGAGTGATTTCAATATTAATAATAATAATAACAACACAATAACTGAACATACCTCTTCAATAACTGGTGCCTCTTCAGTCTGAAAAATCATAAAAATGGGTTTAAGCAAAAGCTTGGCTGCAAGGCAACATTTTTGAGAGTTGAGATGATCATTGATAGGAAAGCTTTTTTTTATGACTCTTCTTTCATAAATAATAAAAACAATGTTTACTCACTGGATATGCCAAAGTCTTGCCAGCAAGGCACACCAAGAAGAAGATCCAAACCCTCATCTTGAGTTTCAGCCTAAAGAAAAAGAAGAGATGATGATTTAGTTTGCTGTTTCAGAATTCAAACCTTAGCAAAACGTAACTATTCACATGGCACTACACAAAGATACTGCCTTAATCTAGATAAATGTAAAGGAATCAAAAGACTGACACACGTACATCCCATATTAACTTTACAAAATAACTGTATTATTTCCAGCAGTTCAGAACCTCAGACAGCCCTCCACACCTGCTCTGTATGCAGCACCACAGATACCCAGACTCTCTAGACGCAGACGCTGATTGAGATAAGAACCCTGTCTGGCTTTGTTCTGCCAGCTCTCGGCTCTCCTCTCGCTCAGAGACGGACTGATGCGATATGTTCTTCTCCAGGAACAACACATTCCTGGGGGACGATTGCAGCGCTTTGTTTGAAAGCACCCGCAATGCCTCGTTCGTTTTCTCTGTTTCTGAGATCCTTTTTTCTTTCTATTATCTTTCTGTTATTATACATTTCTTTTGTGTATGGCTGAAAAGTAAGTTCAAAGCAGGCATTGGTGATTACATCAATTTTTAGTTTTAGGTGGGCTGAGGGTTTAAGATTAAAGCCAGACACTGTTGAATGTTGAATGCCACCAACGTGACGCAAACATTGCCTCAAAAATGAGTTTGGTCATAAAATCTATTGCATTTGTTGTAGGAGAATGATCTTCATGCATCATGACATATGTGGAATTTAAAAAAGAATAAATGAAAGCTAATTCCCACCCCCCGGCTCTGTTTGTGCTTGGGTGGATAATGGGTGGTATTGGTGCAAATTATCTGCACATTTATAATTGGCCGAGTCGTACATTCTTATGGGATTTAAAGACTTCTTAAATCAGTGACCTGAAAAGTGTTTGCCCAGCAACTGCTGAGAGCTTCTTTGGCTTGTTGCTCAAGGTTAAGAAATTCCTTGTTCATCAAGAAAAGCCCTCGAGGGGAATGGACCTCATAGTTTGTTATAAAGTCTGGGGAAAATGGCAGACTTCCCTCTTTTGACAAATGCCAGACTTCTCCAATTCTAAAAGTTTGTACTTGTATGGACCAAAGGAAAATTAAGCAAAGATTTGACAGAGATAAGCATAGTGTGAAAACACTGAATTCAGCAGCTTGTGTTTCTTCACATGAATCTCTCTTAGTGTTCTAAAAAAATATGTCTTTGGTTATTAAAAGATCACAGAAACTCCTAAAATATTGTCGTTCTTCACTGAAGTCCTAATGCAGTTTACACAAAAGCTTCAACATTCTACAACGAGACGAAGGCATCAATCCGTAACATCGAACAAGCGCTGCTAGCTCTAGATTGTGAGGAAATGTCCAGTGGGGAGAAGCTCCAGGGATAGGCTAAACAGGTGTACAGTGAAGAGGAGCTGAGAAAAATGTTCACAATCAATTGGTCAAGTGCATTCTTCTACATCTATTACTTGGTAATGGTGTGAGTCGTGTGACCTGCTCAAATGCACCTCATCAATACTTCGCCAATTCAGATATTTGACAGACAGAGCATGAGGGGTTACCTACAGTGGGATTGCGAAATGTAGATAGTGTGCACTCTTCACACTCTCGTTGGAAGTCATCCATGAGCTTCTCACTTGCTGCTTTTGCATGATTTGAATGTGAGCGTATCACTAGCTGCATTTCTATCCACCTGTTTTTGTGCCTTTTGGAATAGCACATAAAATTCCTGGATGGAAATGGGTTTTTTGAGAAAAAAAAACGAGCAGAGTACATTTTTTAATCTAATTTGCATATTCTACAAACTCTTTTACAAAATAAATCCCAAGATGTGCATTAAAAAAACGTGATTTTATTGCAACAGATTATGTGATCCCCCCACAACTGCTCATGTAGCATGTTTATGCAGTGCAACGGCAATGTGTTTTTCTGTTGGAACTAGGGCGTGATGGCGAGGTATTACTGGGCTAATCAAAGAACCGATTTCATCGCACAGCATCTGAAATGTTGTTTTCTGTCATCAAAGTGGTTTGGATCACCCAGGTCTGTCTCGACCGGCTGCATTCCCATAAAGCAGTCCAAAAGCAAGATGACATGACTGCACATATGGCGTTTTGTCTACAGGTTCTATGACGCAAGTAAGTTATTATATACCAAAAAAGGCCTTCTCCTAATCCAGAAACCTCCATTTATCTTTATAAATTTGGTGCCAGGGGTAAATGTTTTTTTAAGCAATATTTCAGTTTTGCGCATAAATTCAGTTTGCATCTTTGGATGGAAACATGGCTACTGTTTCGCTTGCAGTATTCATAAGTATTACTACACGTGTTTGTGTCATGCGCTGGTCCATTAGTGATGCCGGAGTACAGTCTGTTTCATTATTACAATCAGAAATATGAGTGACAAACCAAATATTCACCTAGGCTCAGTTTATAGGCCATCAACAAATACAACTGTTTCAATAAACTTAAGGTCCCACATCAACACAACTGAGCAGATTGACTCTAGATTGGAGTGATTTTAATTTACAACATACAATAAAGAAAGTCCAATGAGTGTAGTTAAATTCTTTAAGTGGGGTAAAATACTTCTTCAAGTAATATGGGGTTACATTCAGAGCAATTCAATTTACAAATGTGTGTTTTCAGACTCTTGGTTGTGTGTTCAATATGTGATTCTTGCTAAATTTTTTACTAGTAAAATGATTTGTATGTGTAGAGAGATTTTCAAATATATCGAGAAAAGGTGGCACCAGTCCCCGAGTGTACAGTACTTGCACCGTTCACGAGTCAATTTGTGGGAAGACAAAAAGGCCTGCTGCAAGTACATTTATTCTTTTGCTGTCAACTGCTAATTAAACTTACAATTTTTACAGCATATAAAAGTGCACTTGTGTCACGAATATCCCTGTCTGACTAGCTTTTTAGTTGGCTGCACTTTAAAAAGGTGTCAGAAAGCTTACATTCATTGAATAGCAACAATAGTTTGTGTTGTTGTTACTCTTAAACACAAAGCGACGGAAAATACCAGAGAAAAATACCATCAGTGGCTGGCTGAGGTTATATTCCCCTGCACTACTATATGGAAAACTACACGAATGTCACTCTTAGCTGCTTCAAACATCAAAAAAACACCATGGAAACAGTAAGGCATTATTTTGGCACATCTTTAAGTCATCTTCTGCCTGAAATAAATGTTCTTACTCTGATATAGTCACCTTTGAGCAAAACAACATATTTGATTTGGAAAGTCGCATCCAAAATCAAACATAACCAAGCTGGAGGTATAAATAAACCCCTTTCCCTAGTATTTAATTTGGAGTTTGGTGAGGTTAAGCAGGTTGCGGGTGTAAACCCATAGGAAAACAGTGCAGTGTTATTTCCAAAAGAGCCATTTTCCAGAAGCACTGCAGTCCGCTCTTTCCCCAGGAGGGAAATAGCAGGTGGTTCAATCTCGAAACAATGAGTTTCAAAATGATATCCACCACATGTGAGTGTGTAGCAACACATGCCTAGCAAACAGATGTTGTAAACAAGGCACAATACAGGATTTCTCATATGCTAATATCAAGGTACTGGTTAAACATTAAGAGGTAAAACCCCAGCAGAGATCGGTACAGAGGGGGGGTTTGATTGTAGCGAGAACCACCTGTCCATTGTGGCCCATTTAGTTCCATTTATCTTTTTAGCTGTTAACTCTCGGAAGACCCTTCCAAAAAATATTAAACTTGCCAGCAGGAATACGTCTAACATGACACAAGCTAATCAGAGATGACACGCTAATGTAAAATCAACATATTTCCAGGCGGTGTTCTTCGCAACAGTGTCCTGATTCCTGTGCAAACCGGGCATTGCAAATACAAAGCTAACCTTTGTTCTGGTCAGGGTGAGGGGGAAAGGAAACTCATCTCCTGTGGAAAACAAGTAGCAGGATCTCCAAGGCTAACATAAGACACCCAAAAGAGAGTGACGGAGCAAAAAAGATCCATGTAACTTGAGTTAACAATCACCTGACCTTTTCAAGTTGCTCCCCCATCCTCCACCAGCACTGTTTGTTAGTTCATCCGCTCTGTTATTATGACGGCTCATTGCTGTCCTTTTATTCAGAGCAGAGACCAGGGCACACATCCATGGGAAAGGAAATGAGTCTGCGCACCGTGAATAAAACCACATCATCTTGACCAGACTTTATCTGTGGCCAATAAATAATGACTTTTCATTTGTTTTCATCTCTTATCCTGAAGGTGAGCATAAACAAGCACTGCAGCAAGCACGGGGTTATAGCTATTGTGCTAATCTGCTAACCCAGATTTAAA